TATTTTATTTTAATTTCGCTTTTTTTTGACAACAAATCTTGAATTCTAGGTCTTTGTACTACAGATTTGTCATCATCCCCCACAGTTTTCTTACAAATAATGCACTTCATTGTCTTAAAAACTTAATATGTTCTAATGATTATTACACACTGCTTATTACGCACGTACATACCTACTCCAAATACCGCAAGCCGTACACTATGTAGATTACACATTACGTTGGACGCCCCATGCATCAGTTTAGCGCGCTATGAAATAATCGCTTGTTGCCAAACTATAAGCTTTAGGAAAAAACTAATTGTTTCAAAAATTTATGTAATGTTTAGGCTTCATTTTCTTCGCTGCATGTATATAAAAAAATCATAAATAAAAAAGTTTATCGGTTGGTGAAAATTGTATTACACAAAATTTAAATTTCAAGTTTTCCTGATGTTTAGCGAAATGAAAAGGAGAGTTTTATAAAATCCATTAGTACTGTTAAAAGCGCTATTGTGTCTGCTTTAATTAAAAAAAATTACTCTGATAGTACAATTATTTTTTGATATATAACGGTGGAGACCTTAAAAAACTTATTCTCATAAAAATAGATTTTTTTTTATTTTTTCGAAATTAAAAAGATCCCGACCAACAAAAAATGTAAAAAGTGGTTTCGTGTACACGATCACCTAATTAAGAAATCGCGCCAAGTCTGGTTTGGTTCTACGCCAGTTTTTTTTATCTCGATAACTAAGCGACTTGGCGTTGCAATTTTGCTCGTCTAATAGACATTAGCATGAACGACGTTGGAAAGGGCTATGAAGGCAGGCTAAGAATTGTGGTAGATGATTTAAAAAATAATAGTCCTGTTGAGACGTTTGAAAAATTGTTCGATCAAAATATAATCAAAATGTTCGTCGATCAATCGAATATGTATGCGGCGCAAAAGAATAACCATACATTTGTGGCAACTGAGGATGAAATCAAAATATTTATCGGTATATTACTCATCAGGGGTTATCACAAACAACCTCGTGAAGCTATGTATTGATGTGTTGATGAGGACGTATCCATACTGATGGTGGCTTCCAGTATGTCTAGGAATCGTTTCCAGGAAATAAAGCCATACATCCATTTTGCAGACAATACTAAACTGAACAAAAATGATAGTGTATAAGAGTAGATATACTATAGGTGGACGGACCCAAAATCTCATGTATTTTCTTATGGAAGTTTATTTTGCAAATTTTTGACCAATTTTACCCCCGACCGGGAAACGTAGTCAGTGGATGACTTCATTTTTGGCGAAGAATTAATAATTTAAAAAAAAAAGCTATGTCAGCTGTGAGGATCGAGCCCCGGTTCTTCAGATTGCGAGACAATCGCACAACCCACTAGACCACAACGCTCATCTATCGGAGTTGCGATATATTTGGTAGGTATGCGAGAGACGCGGAAGCGTTCGATGGGCGGGGATGGGGAAGCGGGCGGCCGGTGGAGGCCTGCGATGCTGGAAGCCTGCGGCGGTCAGCGGGGTGCCGGCGTACGAGAGTATTTTTTTTCAGTGTAAGCGATATAAGCGTGGAGGATTACAGTTGCGTCGATCCACCAATATCGTAAGTAATCTAGATTTTTATTTTAAACTATTATTTTTTAGCATAGCGACAGTACCTTAATATTTTTTTTAGAATAACCGACATCACAGCAGGCGATGCCTTCGGCTGCATCGATCCACCAATATCGTAAGTAATCTAGATTTTTATTTTAAACTATTATTTTTTAGCATAGCGACATTACCTTAATATTTTTTTTATTTTTTAGAATCACCGACATCACAGCAGCCGATGCCTTCGGCTGCGTTGATCCAACAATATCGTAAGTAATCTAGATTTTTATTTTATGTTCTATTAACATAGTCTTATCTTCTATATTTCAGACACGAGGGCCCGTGTAAGTAAAACCATTTTTTAATAAATCAACAGCTGTGCTAATATTTTCTTTTGTTTTCTGTATTTCAGATATTAGACCATATGATCCATCAGTTCCACCACCGAGGCACTTCATTAGAAGGTTCTCGGTGGATGGAACTCGATATATATGTTATATTTAAAAAGTAAAAATAAAAAATTAAATTTATACTTAGTTTTAATTTATAAAAAGTGTAAAGTGGTTTTATAATAATTCTGTGTAGGTACGTGGAAAGTGTGTACGTATTAGGACGCTATAAAAAAATCTATAAGGGTAAGTGTTTTTATCCTGTTTATTTTCTAATGGAATTAAAAATAACTATTTACTTAATCTTTATATATCCCAAATTTACTCAAGAAAAAATTATAAAATAATTTATTTTTTATTAACTTGTAAAGTTACCTTGCATGCATTAATTATATATTATATATGTATCTAAACAATATCAAATAAAAGTAATTTAAGCCTCATAGGAAAATGAATCAATATTTGGTTCGTTATTACGGCATTATATTTACAACTGGAGATGCTAATAAACCCGAGATAATCACGTATTATAATCATACCAAAGGCGGGGCTGACAAATTATTTTTAACATACAATCGCGAACGAAACACAAGACGATAGTCCACGGTCATATTCTATAGCATGTTAAATGTAGCTGGAATAACAGACAGACAAAATATTTTCGAAAAGTTTTGGCGTAAAATGAATTGGCCCCAGAGAAAAGTATACGTTGCAAGCCTTGTCGACATAGTTTCCACCAAAGACAAGAAAAAACAGTTAAATGATGTATCGCCTAGATCGGATACTTTAATTTGTTACTTACTATTCTGTAAATGCTTACGAAGTTTTAATTAAAAAAATTCCCGTTGACGCTCCCGATGGTGACGTATATATTCCATATCAATCAACAGATGATATTTTCATTCCAGCCTACAAAAGTACATGCCACAATGGTTATGCTACTGTACAAATTTATAATATGTCTGAAGAAGCTCAATTTGTCGAATTTGAAGAACCTCTTTCCGTTGTACCTTTTCTAGAAAATTATGATTCCTTTGATTATGATATTAACCCATTATCGCCCAGAGATACCATATGGTATCACAAAACATTCCTGCGATATGGAACGTATTGCGACACATACATAAAAGTTAAAGTAGCGATCACCCCCACCAATGGTCGGCAGATATGCAACTTTGAATTTGCATCACGTGCAGTCGCGCTGCAAACGTGTTTGGGGTAACTGCGTTATAGTTTTTGAATGGTGAATTTTGTTGTGTGGGAAATAATGGACATTCGANTAAAAGTTAAAGTAGCGATCACCCCCACCAATGGTCGGCAGATATGCAACTTTGAATTTGCATCACGTGCAGTCGCGCTGCAAACGTGTTTGGGGTAACTGCGTTATAGTTTTTGAATGGTGAATTTTGTTGTGTGGGAAATAATGGACATTCGATGGGCATCAATCGAATACATCAATCTATTCCACATGAATCATGTAACAATCCTCTATAAAATAAGTACAGTTTCGATAAACCCAGCAAAAGCTGTAATGCCGCAAAATTGTCCGATACCCTCTAGTATCCATGGGCACTTCAGGAGCTAAATTATTTTATGTAACTATTCGAATCACTCTTAGATATATACAATTATTTTAGACCCGGTTTTTCACTATCCGAAGCACTGGATATGATAAATGATGCCGATGACCTGGGGCAACAAGTTGATGAAATATTTATAACACCACCTGATGTAAATGTGGATACTGACGAAGATTCTGCGGATGAAGACGAAGGTGGAGCCATTAGTAATCTGACAGGACGCCAGTTGCGAGCAGAAGCGGAAATAAAGTTTGTAAATAACATTAGAATTGGGGAAGTCAATGACGTTGCCGAACAGGTAGAAGAAGCTGAACAAACTACAAATGTAAGTTTTAGTAAGTGTGCAAGTAGTTGGTCCCCTGTCTCATTTGTTGTCATTCTAGGTGGCAGGGTCGTCAACTGCGACCTCACAAATCCAAGCACAGCCATCAACTACTGGCGCCCAGCAGGACATGCCAGATCAGGACTGGATCAATAATCGCCTTACATATAAAAAAGAACCAGTGTGGATTGCTGGCGATTTGGAACCCATGCAGCAAACATTTGCACAGGCTGACTATTCTCAATACAAAGACTTGTCACGCGTTGAATTGTTTTTTGATGACGATATTTTGCAATACCTGTGTGAAGAAACGCAACGATATTCGCAATTCAAAAATGATGCTGATCCCAACATAAGCATATCACAACTTCGATGTTTTATCGGAATTCTTATTCTAAGCGGATATAATCACCTACCATCAGAGAGGATGTACTGGGATGTAAAAGAAGATGTACACAACTCAATGGTAGCGAACGCAATGCGAAGAAATCGGTTTTTAACC